TATTTTGAAGAATAAATATTACTTAGAAGTCATTTAAATCGTTTCGTTGTACAAACTTTCGTGGATACCTCATACAAAAAAGTATTAGTCAAATATATTAATCAAATCAGTTGTATCGTGGTGTTTTGAATAGTAACCTGCTATCAGAAGACACTTACCCTTCCGGAACAATTAACCTTATACTTCATAAACTTTCCTCCTAGATTTATCGATTTTAAAATCGAATTTCAATTCGGTTAACAAATCTGTGTTCTGTGTTACTATTTGACTGCATCTGTTTCTAGGCGTTTGTAGTTGTACACATTTGTGAAGAGACCCAGTGTCAAGTTGAAATCGTATACAACAAGTATATCGTTGTCTTAATGCCCTAGATACACTATGTCGTAGTTACCGTAGCGGGCATTATTGTTATGTCTGCGTATCAGCGTTGGAACTTGGTTGTATACCTCTCTGTGTAGTATTGATATATATATTTAAATAGAAACCTAACATAAGTATATCTAAGATGAAGTCATACAACGTACATCATAGCGTTCCATGCAAGGACAAGCTCAAAATTGACAACGAAGGGAAAAATCAACAAACAATACCAAATACCATATATTTATAAGGAGGTTTACTACTGTACGAAGAGGTTGTTTATGATAAAACTGTTGCAATATTATTTGCCCCTTTTTGAAACATGCTGTTCATGTAAATCAAAAATAGGAATAATTTATACATGTCATTATTCACCATTGTAATGTCCTCTGGCCCAGGGACAAATCAATACTGCCATAATGGAATATAGATTATTCCTGGTGTATGTAAATAGTCACTGTAGCACTACAGGGTGAACTGCTGGGAATATAATTTTTAGAATATAAAATGATGATCTGTGCTTCAAGGCGAATGCAAATACTTATTGTGTGTATAACCTTGACGGTAGGAGTCTCGTCCTTGTGTAGTATATAACGTAGGTAACTAATGTAAACTCACCCAGTTGTCATACCCTATACTTTTTGACAGCGTTGGCTAAAAGTAACCAGTACTTCTCTGCAATGCAAAACATTAACGGTATTAACGCACCTCTTCTTTCTTGTTCAACACCTATTAAGACCAATTTGGATTTTTAAATGTTTTGCCGATGAGTCTTAGACGGACGCAGCATCTGAATGATGCAGAGTCATTCATTTTTGGCATACTCTATCTATTACCATACTGTAACAGGTGCAATCACTCGTGTATGTTGTCGTCCGTCCAGTCACAACAGTAAGCTCACCAGGATGGCACAACAATCGTCCTAGCATTCACTAGTGGCCACAAGGACGGCACAAATATCGTCCTATCGCTCACTCGGGGCCACAAGGACGGCACAAATATCGTCCTATCGCTCACTAGTGGCCTCAAGGTTGACATAAATATCGTCCTAGCGTCCAGGATGGCACAAATATCGTCCTATCGCTCACTAGTGGTCTCAATGTTGACACAAATATCGTCCTATCGCTCACTAGTGGTCTCAAGGCTGACACAAATATCGTCCTATCGCTCACTAGTGGTCTCAAGGCTGACACAAATATCGTCCTATCGCTCACTAGTGGCCTCAAGGTTGACATAAATATCGTCCTAGCGTCCAGGATGGCACAAATATCGTCCTATCGCTCCCTAGGGGCCACACGGACAGCACAAATATCGTCCTATCGCTCACTAGTGGCCTCAAGGTTGACATAAATATCGTCCTAGCGTCCAGGATGGCACAAATATCGTCCTATCGCTCACTAGGGGCCACACGGACGGCACAAATATCGTCCTATCGCTCACTAGTGGTCTCAATGTTGACACAAATATCGTCCTATCGCTCACTAGTGGGCTCAAGGTTGACACAAATATCGTTCTATCGCTCACTAGTGGTCTCAAGGTTGACACAAATATCTTTCTATCGCTCACTAGTGGTCTCAAGGTTGACACAAATATCGTCCTAGCGCTCACTAGCGGTAACCAGGATGACACGAGTATCGTCATAGTGCTCACTTTTGGTCACCAGGACGGAACAAATATCGTCCTAGTGCTCATTAGTGGTCACCATGATGACACAAGTATCGTCAAATGGCCACAATCGGTCAGGCAATAGTTAAAGCAGAACAGAAAGTGGGGCCGTCATTATGGTCACACTCTAAAGCGTATTAATGTTAACTCAACGAAGCTGTCCTTTCTTTGTCGCCATACCCATCAACAAGAAATTGTTCAAAAATTAACATTATTCTTTTTCAAGAGGAGGCCATCTCCCCCCCCCACCCCACCCCCCCAAACAACCCAAAGTTATCCAAAGTTTTTTCAAGAAGAGGACATCCTCAACGAAGCTGTACATGTCCTTTCTTTGTCGCCATACCCATCAGCATCAACAAGATTGTTTTCAAAAAATAGCANCCCACCTCCCACCCCCCAAACAACCCAAATTTATTCATCATGCAGCTTAAATTGGTGCCTAGCCTTTCCAAGATATGACTATCCACCCTGGAGTTTTTTTACATTAACTTTAATTCGTTCTTTTTTTCTTTTTATCATTATATTCGAACAGAAACTGGATGAAAATGTCAGGTGAACAGACGTTAGTTTGTCATGCTTTTAACAACAGTTTCCGGACGAGTAAATTGGAAACCGATGTTCCGATAACTACGTTACATAGCGTATTACTTAACTAACGACATAAAAGGGTTATATAGAGTGAGGAGTTACCCACTCTCTACAGCTTTATGCCAAACACTGCAGCACAAGGGTTCGCTCATACCAAATACAACAGGTATTGATTCAAATACTCACAACCACTGGACTTTTGTTCGCTCATACTAATAAAGTAAACATATCAAAAATGCCATTTTGTTGTTAAGTAACAAATGGGGCGTTAGTTCTTCTTGCCGATAAAATATAATCAATAATTTGATTGTATACAGTATATTACACTGATCAACGTCCTATCATGAACACTTTGTGAGGGGTGGTTACAATAACCTGGATAAAAATTCTTTAAAATGGGTGTAGTGGAATTTTAAGGGTTCATAAACATATTTGTGATAAAATGATAGACATGAGCATTATGTTTATAACTGTCGTTTTAAAGGCCTCGCAGTTTTATTAAATATACGCATGGGTTGTACAGTAAAATATAAAGTGATATTGCAGACAGCTGATTTTTACAGTAAAATAGCAAATGATATTTCGGACAGCTGGTTTGGAAGACATGTCTAGATGTACTATATTGGAAATGTATTCAGGCTTCAGTGATATGTTACATCTTCTTTTAAAAGGTATGGGTTATTATACTATTGTCACACGATAGCCCCGTAACAATATATCACCTGTGTGTACCATAAGGATACAACCGTTGACACTGTTTGCTGACGTATCTTCATGATTGGTTTAAATTTCAATCGTTCAGAACAACTATATAATTAACTATAGGCTTTAGTATTAAAGATATGTTTCAACTTCTTTTTCACACTATACATGTGGGTATTTTATCGAAATATCGAAATGTCACCCACATGTTACGACATGGGAATATTTGAAAATTGCATTTCGAAGAGCATTGATAGGAAGCAGTATGGATATTTACCATTTTCAGGGTTTTTTTCTGTCTTTATTTCTTCTTCTACATTTACTCATTAGCATATCCTATCGACCATACATTAAAGTGTCCAGTTGTATAACTATGTACCTGTAAATCGATATCAGCTCTAATGACGATATTGACACAAATGTAGACCTTGGTGAGTCTTTTGTTAGAATTTAAACTTATCACCTCCAGGTTTTATACATAAAACACACATGTCCTGGGATTTTATTGGATAATTTGTGGACGCGGGTATTGCTACCTACATATTCACATCAATATAATGCAAAATACAACGTGGTTAACACATTTTAGTATAATTTTTAGAAGCTGTATAATCGTATTTCAAATGAATATCTGTCCAGAATTCATCCAGGTTTTTCTCAAAATCGAATACTGTACGAGACGATAACATTTCTTTGGGGAACCTCTACCAGAGATCAGTAATTCTTTGCGTACACAAATGCTTTCTAAAATTTAATTTTTGAGTCTCCTCGTGTTTTAGAGATTTAGATTCATCAAATTTAGTAGAATTAAAAAAAAATTGCTGCTTTCAGATAGTTTTCCAAAAACATATTTATATTTCTACTGCAACTCAACTTAGTTTGAGGGTAATTGTTCCAGAAAATTAGCAGTTTGACATAGGAATATGTCAGCAAATTTGTGCGGGAAGCAGTTTCTTTTATACGTTTGCTTCTTATTGAAATAAACATGAATGTAGATGTTATAGTGTTTTAATGTTTTAATCAATATAGCGCAGTTATTAATCTTACTGGGACGATACCATTACGTGAGTGATGACGTCACACACATTGACACCTTCCATGGTATTGAATTTGCACAAAGCCGATATTTTAGAAATGATTACCAAGTTATCAAACTGCATCGAATGTAGATCTCAACGGAACGATATTTTCTTTTTGTAAGTACTTTTCAAATAATGTTATTTTGAACGCTGGCTCAACTTAGACTTAGACTAATACATTTTAACATATCCGCTTCCAGGAGTATCAAGTAATTGTTTAAGACCGTAAATCATAGTACATATCAATAAGTAGACACTCCCTTTATACGACGTTTGAACAGCGCTTTGAGATGAGGTACATTTAAAAACTTATCAAATATTTGAACATCCATTCGTACATATCAGTACCTTGACAGCCATGAAGCGTTTTGATTTGTCATTGTTAGTGATAGTGTAAAAAAACCTCTATTTTCGTTTTGTATGTCATCGGTTTTTAGACACACTTGCGTGTTACGTTGTCTCCTTCTACACTGTTTGGCTTCGTATTACATCTAGGTGCTGAATGCTGGTAAATCCTAAAGTCAGTAGTTAATATCGATTAACAATAACGGATCCAAAATGGCAATATATCTATCCGTGTCATTAACATATTGTTTTGTTTTCCAGGCAGTCTTATCTGAAACTACGTACAAACGTTGACAGGAGAGCAATACGGCATGATGGCGAGAATAGCCAACTGTATTTTGGTATGTGGACTTGGACTCGGGACGGTCATTACAGCCTATGCCGGTAAGTTGTATTTTCGTTTTCAGTTGTCACCGAAATCATTTTTATGTAATAAGCCCGTCCATTAGGATTCATAATGCAACAACGTTGTTCTATATACCTTTATTAAAATATTTACAGTTTATTTGAGAGCTAATCTGAAAACATCAGGATGATTCCGGAACGACAGTAGAGTTTTTCCTGTGCTAGATTAGTTTTGGTTCAAATTTCAATGGAACTGATATAAACGTTTAATATTTTAATTGGCCGTCATCACGACCTAATGGCTACAACTAAAGTTATGTGGGGAGTACCTTAAATAAGCTTCAGCTCTGTACATCTACGTTTTAATTTGCATAAATCATTGATGCATGTTGACGTGTGTGTTTATATTGATTTAATATTTTACCTTGAACATTTTTATTTATGGTAATTGATTACACAACACGTAATTAGAAATACATTATTTCTCAGTATTTTAAACATGTTGTCGTTAATCAATACTCACTTGCTGTCTCATTTCATCTCCGGTTAACTCGATCGAGGCGCCAACTCTCCCTAAACTCAATCTTTCCCTGCATTAACGATTTAATCTATATATTGTAATTTGAACACGCTATCATTCGACTTTTAGTTAAGAAGATTAAGCCATGAGAACATTTGCGTTGAACCATTATTTGTTTACAGTAGATACTCCCGGAGGCAGCTTCAGCGGACGGAAGCTACTGAACAGTACGGAACCGGCAGCTGATAAAAGTGTTTGGCAACAAATCGAGGAGTTCTACGATGACAAGAACAACTTCGCCATGTACTTGGTACTGCCACTCCTGGTTTTTGTGTACGGAGGCTGTAGTCTCATCTACTGCATTGCAAAGTGCCGAAAACATCTGAAAAAGAAAAAGCGCAAGGAAATGTCTAAATTTGACCGGCAAAACATTGACGATGATGGTCCTATGACTGAACGTAACGAGCGTGAAGAACCAAGGCAGGAACGACGGGGAACAAAACAAACTTCCGCTTCTGACGTCAGAGTAGCAGTAGACAGGGAGAACACCAGCACCCCTCTGCCTTGGCAGGTCCCCGATGACACGGAGAGCCTGTATCCACAGAAGAACGCGCCACGAAAGGCTGAACCGCCACGGGAACCTGCATACAACCACCAAAGTCCCCCACCGCCATACGACCACTACCCCGCCAAGCCAGCGATGAACCGACCAATGGTGAACACTGTCTCTAACCCCGGAAATGACCACCGGAACAGGAACGCTATGGAATCTTACGCTATGGCGAAACAGGCTGCAGAACTGCTGAGACAAGAGGATCACTACCGACCAGGAGAAGGTGGCTACAAGAAGGCAAAGAGGCTCGTGTTCGTGGCTGATTGAGAATACTACAATACTTGGCTTGTCTTGTCTTACGGTATATACAATTCAGTCTTTCTACAAAAAAAATCGAAACAGGAAATAAAGTTTATAAAAATTCTGAAGCAGCGATGTTTATAATATTGACAATGTTTTTTAATTTATAAGTTAGACTCAAAAGTAATAGTGTTTTCTTAGAATTCGATGTTCGTATCGGTGAGGTACGAAAATATTGGAACATTATTAGTTAAATCGACCTTACGTATGTAACTATTTGCCATTTTTGTTTAAAATTAGACGAACTAGAACAATAATTACCTATTTAAATGCAACGCTATCAAAGGCAAACCTGGAAAGCATAACATGTTGTTGTTGTTGACCAAACCTTAAGTCAATAGAGTATACCCTCGTCATTCTTTTTGATTTTACATTAGAAAGAAGGTAACAATGGAATTGGAAAGAACCTAAATAAATACTAATTATTCTGAATTATTATAAAGATGGTTAGCAATGGAGATTACTTGAAACAAAAACGTATTTGAATTAGGGAGTTCGTTTATCTTATCAAAATCTGTTAGAATCAGAATTTAAAATTCGGTTTGAAAAATCTTTTAGGATATTTCGAAGTTTGATTAATTGGAGAGGATTATATGGGTAGATTATCAGTGCGACCGCAGTTGATTCAAATTAGAGTTTTTCTGATAAAAGAGAACATCGCACTACCAAACATCGAAATAATTTGGTTAACTAGAAAGAAATTTGCATTTTATTTCAAAGACGGATCGAAGAGGNGGGGGGATGTAACTGGTAAAAGAATAACCAAAGGAGGGAACGGGAAGAAAGGAGCATTCGAAACCATCTAAGAAAAGCCAAGGATAAATAATTGTACCTTTCAATCAGTCAACATTTAATCTGCTCTGATTGTATTGCAGTAAACATTGAAAGAGGTTAAGTATCAAAAAGAGATTTAGTTAATGTAAAAAAGGAAAGATGTCAATTTACGTGTTATCATGATTTGAATCTATTGTTAACTGATACGCTGTAATAACTGTACATATGTAAAGTTTATTATAGTCCCCAGTCCCAGTACAGTTTACGTTAGTATCTTATAGTCCCCAATGTTTAGTCCCAGTACAGTTTACGTTAGTATCTTATAGTCCCCGCTGTTTAGTCCCAGTACAGTGCACGTTCACTCGAATGTTAAAGGATCAAGGATCCCTGTCCCTGCAGGCGAAACAATAAAACATGTAACTGTAGTTTTTTTTAACCATGCAGTAACCTCCCTCTTAAATTTGTTTTTTTAACTGTAGTGCAACTTTGCAAGGTACTACAGTTAACCCGTAGTTAAGTTGTTTCAGTATATTGTTTTGTGAACCTGGTTGTGCATGTTTATAGTCTTCAATGTATGGTAACAGTTTGACAGAGGTACAGGGATCCTTAATAACTATGTAAATAAGCTACACATAATTGTTATATATACAGGGACAAACGTATATGATAGTTATATTAAGAGATGTAGTGAATTATATAGTTTATTTGTGGTATGCTTTATTTCAATATTAACCTCTGATTGTTTGTAATATGTACGTATAACCACAGACGTGTATACTATATGTGATGCTAGTTTGAGTAACATGGTGTCATTAGTAAGTAAATGCTATGAATTTTATTAAACAAAACTTTTATACGCATGTGAAAATATAAGTGAAAATATGCTTTTAACTGGTATTAATTATCAAATGTTTTGATATATGATTTTTTCCGAATTTTACAAAATAATTTGGTATATTACCTTTTCTGAAAAGCATTCTAAAAACAAGTTTCTTCAACCACATGTACTTGCACTTTGAAATGAACTGATTTTATTTTAATTGGGTCTGGTAGTATATTTTTTACCATGTCGACAAAACTATTTTCTAAATGCACTTGTTGAATATAACATGTACTTTTCATAGTACATAGCTTTTTTTCCGTAAAATAGTAAAACGAACATGAACGTGTGGAGCTCAAATACCTGGCCTATTATGTGTTTGGTAACATTTGATAAACTTAAAAAGTATTTTGAACAGGAAAACGTAACAGTCCTCAAGCTCAATCTACTGGCAAAGACATTTCGTCAAAACTTAAAAGTGCACTCATGTTGTTCAGAGACAATTAGTATATACTAAAATGTGTTTATTTAACTAAACAAGACAAATTGATGGAATATTAGTAAGTTATTATTGATTAAATATTTATACTTAGACTCAAATGAAACAGTATTCAATAGATTGACATTATCAGGATATATTTCTTACTTTCAAATAGCTGTCAAATTAGTGCCTTTTAAAACACTAATTGAAGATTGAACATTATCTCACATTGCACGTAGGTGAAATATATTAGATCGACTTTTCACATGAACACAGCCTGCAGCCGTAGTAGGAAACAGTATACTAGTAATACATTTATACAATATATCTTAAGTGCATTGCTTATGCTCAAACAATTCTAACTTTTATATAAATGTGGATATATATTTTTGTCATTAGTTTATATTCTATAACTAGATTTACTATATTGCTTGTATTATAAAAAAGCGTATTGTGATACTGTGTAAGGGATCTGCTTTTGTAAATGTCAATAGAGAAACATACAGAGATTAAACATATTTAAGCTCCTGTTTTTTGTATTAACATGTTACCTTACAAGCGTGTTTTCTATCATTTAATCTTGAAAGCAATATTTAAGATGTTTGATATTTTTATTAATATATGTTATATTATTTCTAGGGTTTAAGGGTATAATAGAAAAAATATTTTCATCCGTCCATTACCTTGATAAGTTCTGTCTTACATCAATTTTATTGATAAGTTTTCTTTGGATTTTTCTTATATTTAAGAAATAATGTTGTAAATATGTTTATATAAACAATGATAGCATGTGTCCGTCCAAGTTCATGAAACTTACTGTTGAATTTATTGATTGATTTTCGATATTGCTAAGCATCTTTTGGAATTATTATAAATGGACCAAAGACAAAATCTGTGTTATTCAAGTTGTTAAATTGTACTATTCACGTACAGATAAAAGTATACTCATTTTCAGAAAAAAAAAACTATTTTGGTTTGTTAAATCTAATTGTGTAAACTCTATATCTGACGGATATGCGTACTGTTTAGACCATTAACCAGTTTCAAAATGAATCTTTCCAACATTGAATATCAGACATTTTCACCTTTAAACAATGAATAAGAATACAACATCTAAATAAGATCAGCAGATAAAGGTATTGGCCTTCATTTTGACGGCGCATACGGTTGGCAACGAACATACTCTAGGGTGCGCGTTAGGTCAATCCTTACATTTATTGTCTGAAATGATGCATGTTGTATGTGGGAACTAATCACGACACAAATGTTATACTTATATTTCTTTTTCGAAAAAATTAGTAACAAAAACTAATCGAATTTCACCATGAAATGCCAACACTGCAATACAATAGTTGTAGCTCTGTTCAACACCAAGATATGGGAGTAATACAACTGGACGATTCTACTATTAGAATTTGATATCTGGACCTGTTAAATAGTAAATTATATCTGCTGACGTTAATCTGTTATTTTTAGGTGTAGTTTTGAAAATAAAGTTTTCTTTTTACATTTAAGGAGTTTCGTTATTGATTTGCATTTTAAGAATTGGTTAGCGTTCATAATTGATCGACATTGTCAGCCACAATTGCTGTAACCGTGATGTCAATACCAAGTATTAGGATTTTACTGAATACAGTGGATGTCTATGATGTTTAAATTTAATCAGACCATTCATGGTATTATTTTACAAGTAAATATGTTGCACTTTTAAGCTAGTAATACACAATTACCCATACTTTATACAAGTAGTTGCTACATGTAATATCGCAATCGTGTAGAGTTTTGTGGCTTGGAAATAGACGTTTTATAAGAAATACGTTATATCAAAACAAAAATCTTTAGATTTTATAGATTATAAATTTAAAGAAAGTATAGATTTCAAACAATTGTCATTTTGAACTAGAAATATGTCAGAATGACATGAAATTCACCCCATCATTCTGTATGATCATTTTCCGATAAATCATTAACCAAGCTACAACGGATATATTTCCACCTGTCAATCAAAATAGTAAACAATTACCAGGTGTAAATACATACATGCTGTTCAGGTAACCATGGTAACATAGGGAATTACGTTAGCGTTGACCGACACCTCGAATACGGGGAGATCTGCGCGCTGACACGGTCACCTGGCATGGGCAGGTAATTGGAATATAACGATGTTGTTTTCACAACAATAAGTTTCAGAAAAGATTCAATCTTATATACGGATAAATCTTCTACTAATTTTTGTTATGAAATACGCTTTTCCAAGTAGTTTTCTGATCGTCTGCAAATCCGACTGAATCGGTCATCGATATCGGCAGAATGTTTACTGTACGCTTAAAGGCAGCCATTCCGACGAGGACCGCCAACAGCCGAATTCGCAAGACATGAAGAACACCAAATAATTGTGATATCAGCAATTCTCCTTCGGAAAGAAAAGATCGGAATGTATTTGGCTGTTTTGAACCCGTTGATATTTGATTTTCAAACTCAAACTTTTATCATTATCGGTTCAATTCGCATTGGATGTCATTGTAAATTTCTGCCGGTTAATAGTATCACGCAACTGCGACTCTTTGCGGTACACAAACTTGCTAACTACGCCACTTTACCCGTGTCGTTTTGACACATACCTAGATTTCAGCAAGATTTTACCCAAGAACGACATTTTAACAACAGAGTAATAAATCCGATGCAATTCTTCGTTATGTTTCCCGATACGTGGTATTTATCAATTCACAACGTAACGTCCTGAAAAGTTGAGCCTACTTTACTCGAGTTTATTTATCCGATTCTATAGTATTATGTGACTTAAACTTGAAACTTTTCGTAATTGTTAAATTGGCAATGCAATCAGGGATTATTCAACGAAATTTAGCAGTTGTATTGCTGTAAGCATATATCAAAACATTTCCGAAAATCCTCGAAAAATTTACGAGAAATGGTCGCGACCAAGGACTGGTTTTGGATTGTTCTTGAGTATCGTGTACACCCCTTTCTTGACACTTCATTTTCCCCTTAACAAAGTGCGCGCTATACGCAAATATTAACGGTAGTCGTTGGTCAGACATTAAATATCTAAATCAGTCAATAGCAATTTATAATACGACAGTTTACCCGTTCGGGAACCTCAAAGGTGCCTGATTCATACTCTGAACATCTTTAGGTTATATGTAATTCCCTTGGGGAATTTGGAACGCCTTTAGTTTTTATGTTATTCCTGTTTAAAAAGGAAATCGATATCTGAGTTATCCAAGTGCTTGTAATTAGCGCCTGGTATATTTCGATAGAAGCAAGATACACAACAGCCCTCCTTACAGAGGTCAAAATCTGGGACTAAAACCAAAATTAATAGTCCCCACTGGGGTTCCCCCAGGGGTGACTAAAACTGTTCGATCAACCGACGTGAAAAGACATTACAACGTGTGCGACAACTGAACAATAACATGAAATGTTGACGGTATAATCTACATAGAGCTTACTCCTGAGACAGTTTGTTGTTTATGATGTACAGGTTCAAAGATAATACATGAAGCTTTACTCGTAGCTGTTTGTTTATTTTGAAAAACAAAAACTGACGGGATTTCGATAAACACGATCGCCAACCTTCATCTCGACAGAGATGGAGTTTGCTTCTATCAGAAACTTAATTGCAAATGATGACATCAATATCTTATGCACTTTCCAATTTCTAACCGAGATGAAATATTTGCGAGGCATTGTGTCATAATGCAACGAATTTGAATGACCCTTGTGATTTAAATTAAACATGACAATCACTCTATTGTTCTTATACCAGATTCACATCCGTTACGTTAAAAAGAAATTACTTTTTTTTTGTTATTTCACATAGCATGTCATAGCTCCTTTTTCAAAAACTCTTTATACGCTGTTAATGCCTGTTTTCCCTTCGTCATGACAAACCTTGACGAGAAGAACCCGTGTTGGACGCCAGTAAAATGTTGATACACAACGGGATTTCCAAGGTTTTGCAGACGCTTGACAAGAATGATACCATCGCTTAAAAGCGGATCGTACTGACATGTAAACAAAAGCATTTTCGGAAGTTTCCGTAAATCTTCGTCACTAGATAGCAATGGCGACAAAAACTGGTTGGAAAGAGTATCTCCTACCTCTTCAGCAAGATGTTTGTTGAAACTAGAACTGTCTTTCACTTTTCTATCAATATATTCTCCGGGAAGCAAAGAACTATTTACAAAACGTCTCAGGTTTAGTCTTGACTCCGGCGACATATGTCTGTTATTGAAGAAATCTGTAAGATGGTTCTCATTGCCGAAGGCGTAAGTAAGCCATGCTGAAACCATTAGCTGTTTATTTAGTAAGAATGGTCCGCCTGTGTAATCGACGTAGGAAGGCAGGTTGAAGTCCACTATCTGTAATGCAGGATACACGAGTGATAAAGAACGTAGTGGCGGAAGAGTTGGCTCCCCTGTCTCCCCTTCTTTAGCTAGCTTCAAAGCTACTGCCATAGCAAGGTTTCCTCCTGCACTGTCACCTGCATATATAAAAATTCGGAGCAATTCAAGCAATTTTCAAGACCAACAGTTTGAGTTTGGTGCATTTAATCGTTTTCACATGTATCTAGTATTAGGCGTTGGTGTAAGGGTATATACGTATATTAGCAGCACCTGTTTTGAGACATTATTTTCTAAAAACTTTGTGTACAAAACTTTCATTTAATGCATAAAAATACATAGCAATAACACTTCTATTAAAAAATCAGTAAACTGATGCATAAAACCTGATGAAAATATGTAATAATGATACTATACCATTAAATACATTGAGCATTTGCGTGTAAGTCAGCCTTTCTTCCGTATGAATTCCAATTGAACGACAATTGATATTAACTCATCTCAGTGGCTTATGTGTACTGTACCTCCGATCCCTATTCTCCTCGGATTGACTCCATACTTCTTGGCGTTTCCTAGGAAATGTTTCGTGGCAGCAAGGCAGTCTTCTAAAGGAACTGGAAACGGGTGTTCCGGTGCCAGTCTGTAACTATGTAAACAAATAGGGCATCTCGCCTTTAGTCGATTTCGTTATTAATCACAAAAGGGGAAGTAAAAGGAAGGATGTTTTATATGTAATTCGTTTGTTTGTATTTTATTGTATATTAGTGATTTTTAAATTTGTACCACGTATGAAATATTGTGAAATATCAGATTATATAGCTTATCATTATATATCTTATTTATTGTTTTCAAAATAGATGTCGCTGTACATTACGGATCTCAAATAAAAACAATATGCGTGCCACATCTATTGGCCACATTTTATCGATCCTAGGGATAACAATATGCATTATGCATCACTTATAATATATATTTAAGAAAATGCATAAGCATGCAAAACAGTACAAGCTTACAGAAGCCAAGGACATATCACGAAGGTTTGCGCTGATGATTTAGCCACTTAATGGTCATTTCAAAGTGAAGACACAATAAAACATGTCAACCTTTTATTGAAATCATGATACCTCACATAGTCGTACTATTCTGAAATCGAGTTAATTATCAGAAATAGAGCGTACATGCAGAACAGGCAGCATTACTGAGTGTTACAATACGGACAGCGGATCTGTATTTACTCTCCCATATAACCAATAAGACGGAGGAATATGGCAAGCCAAGTTGTCATTTATTCATGGAGCAATGTTGATCCAGCACTTAACCAAAGTATATAAGATATTTCATATACTTTATAAGATATTTTATATACTTTATAAGATATCTTATATACTTTATTATACATCTTATATACTAAATAAGATATCCTATATATCATATAAGATATCTCAAAAAAAAAAAAAAATATTCATGGAGCAATGTTGATCCATTACTTAACCAAAATATCGCCAACGAAAACGGATGTGACCTTACAACGAGAACAGTCATTTTCAAAGATTTCTTCTTTGTCGGTTTCGCGAGAGTCTCGTTCTTTATAAGATATCGCATATACTTTTCTTAATAAGATATCTTACAAGGAAAATTAATTGAGATATCTTATAAAAGGTATAAGATATCTTATATGTTTATACGATATCTTATATAATTTATTAGATATCTTGTATAATATATAAGATATCTTATATCATTTGGTTAAGTACTGGATCAACATTGCTCAATGAATAAATGACAACTTGGCTTGCCATAGAGGAAAACCGTTCACTTATGTGGTCTTCCCATACAACACAACAGCAGAACAGCCCTGTAGGAGTACTGCCGGAGTTCGACCTCATTACAGGCTGAATAGTGTCTACACTTCACTAGGATATGATCCGAAAAACGTTACTTTGATTAGCTGATAATTATGTCTTCATTTGAAAGAGTCGCTTCTTCACAGCGTTACTTTCGCGAGCATGACTGTTCGACTTAAGAAGTCAGTGTTGTGCAGGCTCTTGACATGTTCGTCATATTCCAAGAAAACAGGGACCCAATAACATGGAGACATACTTATCATTGGGTGGTCGGGTGGTGCAGTGGATAGCTCACTTGCCTTTCACCAAGGTGATCGGGGTTCGATTCCCCGATCGGACGTGAAAAGGTATAGGGTTACCTGCCCGACCACGTGGGATTTCCTCGGTTACTCCGGTTTCCTCCCACATTAAGACTCTACGCGCGCGTAACAAGAGTGATTATTATAAGTTGAAAAAAATTGTTTCATAATTGTTGCATAATAAATGAAGTTTATATGAAGTATACATACAAAATTATTCGAAATCGCCAACAACGCTTCATCGATCTAATGCATTGTTTATATTTCCAATGAAAACAACAAGGAATTCCGAAGCGCTAACTACATCAACCATTTGTTGATTGAGAGTGCAAATCAGCGACAGTTGGGAAGGTGCCTTATTGTCAAATCAGCAATTACCTTAGCGCAGAGAGTATTGGTACTTAGACAGAATATCAAGCCTACAAAAACTTACTCAATTGATACGACGACCGCCTTCAGAGACCTGGCAAAGTCACGTGTCTTCTTATCATATATGTCTGTAGACAAAGCAATTGGAAAAATATTAAGGCAGCAATCGCAAAAACATCCTGAAATAAAAATAAATTAAGAATATGAACTCCATGTAGACATAAAAACATACAGAACAAAGAGATAAAGCAATGAACCAACTCGAAGCTTAAACATATGAAGAATAAAGTCTTTTGAAGTGCCTTCTTTAGTTTACGAAATTACTATATCCAGTCCTTATGTGTCACTCAACAAGCGAAAGGACGGCAAACCCTGCTACACCTGGGGATGTCAATCTAGCACAAAAATATGAAATACTGGATACCAGCCAGGTAATATTTTCCAATACAAACATAATGCATACACGGTTACTCACATATCATATGGCCTGATGTAATCTTCCCAAAGTAAAAAGGGGGTGAAAAAGAGGCAATGGTTTTGAAATTATCTTATAGAGTTTTCAGCGTTGGCAGTTCTTTTTTAAACCATGTTAACCCCTTTAAAATTGTTGAGCAAAATAAGAAAAATAATTCATGAAAAAATCCTAAAGTACGAAGTACATAATCACTCCAGCAAGACGATACAGAAGTCAACAATTTAACAGCATTATTGAAGGTTTTGTCTAAATTGTTCTGAGATATAGAAAAGAGCGAACGGGATAAAATTCCTTTCAAACACTTGTAATGTTAGTGATCCGTTTGTCTGTAACAGATCTTTTATTCCTACACTAGTATTTCGTGTAAACCGTGCCGAAACAAGTCCGTGCTACAAGGTTTCAGCTAACATTGGGGACTGAGAGTCCACCAGCAGAGTCAACCTGCTTGTGACGTAAACACTTTATAAAATACACTTAGTATGAGGGTACATACTGACGTTACCCAGGTACCACCCGCCTCCATGAATGTACACCAAGCCTGTGTGTTCTGGGTTCGATTCCTTCGGGATATAGAGTCTCACTTTGACACCTCCAAACAATGTGTCTGTTACCTGTAATGATATATAGCTCTGTTACTATGACAGCGATATAGTATTCACATTGTTAACATTAAATGCATTTTCATGGTGTTTAATTAGAGATATAGGATTAGTATTTAGTCTTGACATAAACTTATATTAAATATATAGGTGTAGTACTCACAATAAAGTATAATATGTATAAAGGCATAATTAACGTTCAGGTGCCCAATTGACTTATACACTGATTCACTTGATTATTGTAAAGTTCACAAGAACACACCAACTGCTGAATTTCTGTATCAGTTAAATGTTTCCAAATGTGTTTGTGAGGAAACAATTACATGTTCTAAGAATGTTTCAACATTGTAATAGAAAACGTCGTATTATTGTCCCCACTAATCATTCAATGGAGATGGCGAGTGTTTAATTGTATACAGGAATATGTTATATTTCACTTTACAGTCTCACCTCTAAATCTTCATCACTCAGTTCCTGTTTTGACATCAGAAATAGAGAAAACCATCTCCTACAAAGGGCTGATGAGGAGTAGCCAACCCTTTCCCCAAAATGACACTGTACTCGGAAAAATAAAGTATAGAATATGTTTTGTCATGCAATAACGATTTCAGTATTCCAGCAGGGACCCCGACCGCCTGGACGAATTCACAGTTCGCACCTTCGTTATAATCCTCTCTTACATCAGATGTGTTTAAAGTAAAATAAGTTATAAACTTAAATGTAAAATTGGACAAATATTTTGTTACGAATCAAAATCCTGGATTTTTTTCTTTAAAAGTATTTCATCATACTCTCTAATGTAATTAAAATAGAAGTACATGTATTAAATAATATTATATTAAGGCCCTAGGCTACCATGTACCAGGACTATACATGCGATTTATCTAACAATACAGAAAAAAATACAGTTTAACCTTTGACCTTACCACGTGGTTGATGGTACGTATTGGAACCATAGACATCATCTGTTTCCACGGCTGGTCGGCGTCAGCGGGGAACGGGTAATATACATAATAGGCCACGCCCACCAGCAGAGCGGCCGACACTATCAGACATGTTTGTAGTTGCATACTGTGATTCTGATATCAGAGCTGAAATACAACAGCAAAACAGAATACCTTATTTTCATGTCATTATTCCGATTTCTTCCTACGCCCTTAATTGTCGGCATAGGGTCATTGCTGTCGACCCTAAAACCTTACTGTCGACAATGTATGACATTTGGCAGCATGTCATCCTCAATGTCGACTCAGCATCCTAACTGTCGACAATATGTCCGATCTGTCATAAAATCCCTTACTGTCATCATTTAATTGCCGTTCTAGTTTCTTCCCATACAAACCAGCGTCCTCAATCATCATGCCCTGATAGTCGTCATTGTTTTATTACTGTGGACGCAGCGTCCTTAATTTCGTTATTACATGTATCGCCTGAATATGTTCCGACGAAGCAAGCGAGATAACTCGAATATGAAAGGTGATGTAACATATGACAGCCTACCGAAACATTCTTTGTACAGAATGATAATAAAGTTACAAATACAAATCGATGATTCATAACATAGAGCTGAGTTAACAGCACGAATACGAAGGCTGATCAGTGATGTTAGACAATGGGTGGTGTATTAACTATGTAGGGATACATATCGTACATCTATAACGTTATATCATACCTGATGTCTTCTTTAGGTTTACCTCTGAAGCCGTGACCTCCGTTTTACTGTCGAGTGCGATACCTGTCCGTCCTGCCTGTCATGTGTGTACACCTGTACGGAAAGCTTATTTCGATAGAGGTCAAAGGTTAGATCTACTCGAGGGTATTTACTTTAAAATCACAGTGGCTAAGGTCAATAGATATAACGCTATAAACATCGTTAAAACTTTACATGTCGCCTTTAATGATAGCATAGTCTATCTGTAGGAGTAACTTGAGTAAGTTCGTCCTCATTCAGGTCCAGAATATATAACGAGTTTCAAAGTTAGACATATAAAAGACGACATCATTTTTTTTCTGAAAACACTCTTACTGCGTAAAATGTAAGGATTTCTAACACCGTAGATACAATGTAGCAAACACACTGTTTCTGGATTATATATCTGTTGAAGATTAGCTCACGGATACATGTGAGCCTACTTCCTGAAAATTACAGAAAAATGATCAGAATTTAGCGAATGAGGTAAAATAAATAGAGGATCTGACACGAGTGTCCATGTAATATTGAATTCATTGAACGAGTTTATTAATTTCATATGAAATTTATAAACGATTTTAATAAATTCAATATAACATGAACACGAGTGTAAGACTCTGTTTATCATATAACTCGAGAAACACTCTTTTTCTTGACACGTCTCCTCTATAGACGAAAGGACGCATTGCATGCATTTTGTTTGGAGCTCGCTGCGCCACAAAAAATAATTTCAGAAACTTCTTCCTGAGAACCTTTTCAATGAACAAAATATCATTTATGTTTTCTTCATCAACCAATGTTTTAATAATTATCATAACAACATTAATAGTCATGTTTTATACGAAAACCATTCAACGAATTGGCGTTTACGAAAATAGCAGTGACGTCACATATTTGCCACAACGGCGCGTGCACTGTCAAGGTAAAGGTCATACAGGGACTGGAGTGATTGTCACTCTCTATAACACAAGCACATTTCTTTGGAGATGGCTGTTGGTGAATGTGAACCTCGATGTTTCCGCCTGTCACTGAGCCAGAAAATACACTGTGGAATCCGCCATGAAACTGGAACACTGATGAAGTTGACCGTTACATGTTCGCCATTGATTGTGTGTATGTCGGAGAAGTTCAAGTGGAATTTGAACATGCAGGTGTTGAATTTGTGAAGCTAACACTCGTGTTTATATGATATTGAATTTATTAAACTCGTTTGTTAATTCTATTCTCCCAGTGCCCCTGCCTCTGCTATCAATGCAAACAGTAACTCGGTCAGCCATTTTGTTTACGGAATATGACCTGTTTCTCACGGTGACGAGACTCATTTGCATGTTTGTTGTACGTGTGCTATATCGTTTTTATTGAACGGCAATATTGCACGGAAGTAGCCTGTATTATATAATAAAACTGTATACAACACAACACAAAAAGATAACAAAATTAGAAATTGTCATTATAAAACTTACCGCTGTATACGGGTTTTATATCGGTGTCGTTTAATTTCGTCACTGAACAGTATTAAACCTTCAACCGGTGTATGGTGGACGTTAGACATTGCAAGTCAAAGTTATTTGAAACTTACGTCATATATTTGGAATTTTTCATTTTTCAATCACTTGATAATGGCCTCAGTAATTGGGGTTGAGCCGTTGAACGATGGTGATGTAATGGTGACCAAGCAAACACATTAGTACAGGGCACGAAATCAGGTGATAGTTTAGTACGGGACACGACATCAGGTGTAAGTTTAGGACGGGACACGACATCAGGGGTATGTTTAGTACGGGGCACGGAATCAAGGGTATGTTTAGTACGGGGCACGACATCAGGTGATAGTTTAGTACGGGACACGACATCAGGTGTAAGTTAAGTACGGGACACGACATCAGGGGTATGTTTAGTACGGGGCACGGAATCAAGAGTATGTTTAGTACGGGGTACGACATCAGGGGTATGTTTAGTACGGGGTACGACATCAGGGGTATGTTTAGTACAGAATACGACAACAGGGTATATTTAGTACGGAACTCGACATCAAGGGTATGCTTAGTACGGAAAACGAAATCGGGGGTATGTTTAGTACGAGACACAACATCAGGGATATGTTTAGTACGGGACATGACAACTGGAGTTTGTTTGGTATTGAAGCAACAGGGGTATGTTAATTACGGACGACAACGGAGGTATGATTAGTTATGAACACGACGACAGGGGAATGTTTAGTACGGAACAAGACATCAAGGGTACGTTTAGTACGGAACACGACAACAGGGGTATGATTAGTACGGAACACGACAACTAGGGTTTGTTTAGTAAGGAACACGACAACAGGGGTATGTTTAGTACGGGACTCGACATCAGGGATAAGTTTAGTATGGATCACAATACCAGGGGTATGTTTAGTACGGGACTCGACATCAGGGATAAGTTTAGTATGGATCACAATACCAGGGGTATGTTTAGTACGGGACTCGACATCAGGGATAAGTTTAGTATGGATCACAATACCAGGGGTATGTTTAGTACGGGACTCGACATCAGGGATAAGTTTAGTATGGATCACAATACCAGGGATATGTTAAGTCTATGTTTAGTACGGGACACGACATCGGGAATGTTTAGTACGGGACACGACATCAGGGGTATGTATAGTACGGGACACGACAACATAGGTATGTTTAGTACGGGACACGACAACATAGGTATGTTAAGTACGGGACACGACATCGGGTATGTTTAGTACGGAACACGACATCAGGGGTATGTTTAGTACGGGACACGACAACATAGGTATGTTTAGTACGGGACACGACATCGGGTATGTTTAGTACGGGACACGACATCATGGGTATGTTTAGTACGGGACACGACAACATGGGTATGTTTAGTACGGGACACGACAACATAGGTATGTTTAGTACGGGACACGACATCGGGTATGTTTAGTACGGAACACGACATCAGGGGTATGTTACGTACGGGACACGACATCAGGGGTATGTTTAGTACGGAACACGACATCAAGGGTATGTTTAGTACGGGACACGACATCAGGTGTTAGTTTAGTACGAGACACAACATCAGGGGTATGTTTAGTACGAGACACAACATCAGGGGTATGTTTAGTACGGAACACGACAACTGGAATCTGTTTGTTATTGAAGACAACATCAGGGGTATGTTTAGTACGGAAAACGACATCAGGGGTATGTTACGTACGGGACACGACATCAGGGGTATGTTTAGTACGGAACACGACATCAGGGGAATGTTTAGTACGGGAAAAGACATCAATCGTACGTTTAGTACGAGCCACAACATCAGGGGTATGTTTAGTACGGGGCACGACAACAGGGATATGTTTAGTACGGAACACGACAACTAGGGTTTGTTTAGTAAGGAACACGACATCAAATGTATGCTTAGAACGAAACACGACAACTGGGGTTTGCTAAATACGGAACACGACATCAAGGTTATTCTTAGTACGGAAAACGGAATCAAGTGTATGTCAAGTACAGGACACGACATCAGGGGTTTGTTTAGTAAGGAACACGACAACAGGGGAATTTTTAGTACGGGACAAGATATCAATCGTACGTTTAGTACGAGACACAACATCAGGGGTGTGTTTATTACAAAGCACGACAACATGGGTATGTTTAGTAAGGAACACGACAACAGGGGTATGTTTAGTAAGGAACACGACAACAGGGGTATGTTTAGTACGGAACACGACATCGGGTATGTTTAGTACGGAAAACGACATCAGGCGTATGTTTAGTACGGGACACGACAACAGGGGTGTGTTTAGTAAGGAACACGACAACAGGGGTATGTTTAGTACGGAACACGACATCGGGTATGTTTAGTACGGAAAACGACATCAGAGGTATGTTTAGTATGGATCACAATACCAGGGGTATGTTTAGTACGTACGGGACTCGACAGCAGGGGTATATTTAGTACGGGACACGACATCAGGTGTAAGTTTAGCACGAGACACAACAACAGAGGTATATTTAGTATGGGACACGACATCAGGTGTAAGTTTAGCACGAGACACGACATCAGGGGTATGTTAAGTACGGGACTCGACATCAGGGGAATGTTAAGTATGGATCACAATACCAGGGGTATTTTAAGTACGGGACTCGACATCAGGTGTTAGTTTAGTACGGGACACGACAACAGGGGTATGTTTAGTAAGGAACACGACAACAGGGGTATGTTTAGTACGGAACACGGCATCGGGTATGTTTAGTACGGAACACGACATCGGGTATGTTTAGTATGGATCACAATACCAGGGGTATGTTTAGTACGGGACTCGACAGCAGGGGTATGTTTAGTACGGGACACGACATCAGGTGTAAGTTTAGCACGAGACACAACAGAAGAGGTATATTTAGTACGGGACACGACATCAGGTGTAAGTTTAGCACGAGACACGACATCAGGGGTATGTTAAGTACGGGACTCGACATCAGGGGTATGTTTAGTATGGATCACAATACCAGGGGTATTTTAAGTACGGGACTCGACATCAGGGGTATGTTTAGTACGGGACACGACATCAGGTGTAAGTTTAGTACGAGACACAACATCAGTGGTATGTTTAGTACGGAACATGATAACTGGAATCTGTTTGTTATTGAAGACAACAACAGGGGTATGGTTAATACGGAACAAGACAACAGGAGTATGTTTAGTACGGAACACGACAACAGGGGAATGTTTAGAACGGGAAAAGACATCAATCGTACGTTTAGTATGGGTCACGACATCAGGGGTATGTTTAGTATGAGACACAACATCAGGGGTATGTTTAGTACGGGACTCGACATCAGGGATATGTTTAGTATGGATCACAATACCAGGGGTATGTTTAGTACGGGACTCGACATCAGGGGTATGTTTAGTACGAGACACAACATCAGGGGTACATGTATGTAAAGTACGGGACACGACATCAGGGGTATGTTTAGTATGGATCACAATACCAGGGATATGTTAAGTACGGGACACGACTCGACAGCAGGGGTATGTTTAAGACACAACATCATGGGTATGTTTAGTACGGGA